TATATGATTTCTGTTGACTAATTTCAGTGAACTTGGAGGAAAATTCTGTTTTGCCTCTGCATAATGTGTGAAATTGAGATTAGTGATTTTGGTTTTTTGACTGTAATTGAAGTGTGGAAGAGGATACGTTGGAGAACTTCTCAGTCAGATCAAATATAATTAGATAAATACATGTGGGCATAGCTATAAAGCTTTGCCGCAGTATAAAACAATTATGTCACATCAATATGCAGATTGTGTTCTATACTTCAGAAGGTGAAATATGGACATGAAACGATAAAGACATATCAGTTTTCTGAACAATGCTAACATTGCACAGAGTTTTATACATTTTGAATTATTTATTCATTTATTTTGTTATTTATTTAGATGCCACTTGATTCTAATTGACAATGAGGTTGTGAGATTTTGTGAGATGAATAGTCTTTTCAGAAATTTTACTACTGATATAGGAAGTATTATAGACATTGTAGTATAATCATCATCATCATCATCATCATCATCATCATCACCATCATCTATCCTATTTAAGAACCACCCATCTCCATCACAGAGTGAATTATAATTCTTCTTATATAAACTATGCATCTTGAAGTATGTATGTCTAATTTAGAATTGATTCAAGTCACTTGATTCATTGGATGTCCAGTGTATTCTGAACAATGGCCCCAGTAAATATTCTTGCAGTCTTTGCCTACCTAGCAAGGAAGAAGTCATTATGGAACTCTATCATGTCATCTCTCAGATGAAATTTTTAGAAATCAGTGCAGCCACTGGAATCAAAGATAAGGAAGAGTTTGCATAAGAACAACATGAGCTAAGGCTGTCATCACCTATTCATTCCAGATGAGATGAAAACCTCACTTGAGTCATCTAGCAGATAGCCAAAAAAAGTCCCAAGCTCCCTTGGAAACCTGTCAGCATCTGTTAGCCACCTGGGGCAAAACAATCTTATTAGACAATCTAACCTCTCTGTAAGAAGGTAGGCAGAACCTGCAAGTCAAGTAGCAACCATAGAGTTACCTGACCATGGCAATGAACTCATGATAATCTCCTCCAATGTCAGATCAAGTTACACTGTCCTGTGATTAAAAAAAAAAAAAACATTATGGCCAGGAGCTCCTAAGCCACATCAGACTCCACATTAAATTACACCTAACCTAGCAACAGAGTGACGAAGTTTAGGTAGCCAACTTCAATTGAAAGGTTTCATATCCAGTTATCTGTGAGATATTGTCTGTGAAACCTGTTAATATTTCCTGGGTAATAGTTGATACCCCCATTTCTGCTCTGCAGTTGTAACTGTTATTGCACTTAAAACTAATAGCAGACACTATCCACCCAAGCTGCTTTTGCCTTGCTGCACTGACCCATCGCGTGGCATATCTGTACAATATGTTTTATGTACAATACAGGTGCATATTAACCCAGCTGGGTTATATATGAATATATTATCAGGCAGCTACAAGACTAATACTTGGAATTTGGCACACTTGGCACACTCCCATCTCAAAACCCCTAACTGTCTGCCAAGTAACTAGTAAGCTCCAATATCCCTACATCTATGATTCCTCCACTTCAGCAACTCATTTGTAAAGCATCTAACAAAACTCCTACTCAAAAACTCATATCCTCATTGCTGGAAGGCTACTGGCTCATTCTCTTTTTTAAAAAAAATATTTTATTAAGTTTATATTAATAAGGAAAAAATAGGAACAATACAGGTATGGGAGGGGAAAGGGGTGGGGGATTTAGGATGGAATGGGGATAGGTACAATAATCACATACTTTAACAAACAAGCTACCATCCGGATCATAATAATGAATAAATATCATATTCAGCCATTTTAAAATAAGATTAACTATAACCATATTACTAACAATTAATAAACAGATAAATTCATCTATGTAAAACCTACCAAAAACAGTGCCATAAAAAACAGAATAGAAACACAAGTGAGTAAGTGAGTACCTGTCCAGCCTAGACGAGTTCAAATCACCAGGACCAGATGGATTACACCCTAAGGTTCTCAAGGAACTGGCAGATGTGATCTCGGAACTATTGAACTATATTTTTCAAAGATCCTGGAGTACTGGGGAACTACCAGAAGACTGGAAAAGAACTGATGTAGTTCTCATCTTCAAAAAAGGAAAAAAAATGGACCCAGGAAATTACAAACCTATCAGCCTGACCTCAATACCTGGGAAGATTCTGGAAAAGATAATCAAACAACGAATCATCGAACACCTACAGGCAAACAAACTCATTACTAAAAGCCAACATAGGTTTGCAAAAACAGATCATGTCAGACAAATCTTATTGAATTCTTTGACCAAGTGACAAAATTAGTAGATCAGAGGAATGCTGTGGATATAATTTACTTGGACTTCAGTAAGGCATTTGATAAAGTAGATCACAACTTACTACTTGATAAGATAGAAAAATGTGGGTTAGACAGCATCACCACCAGATGGATCCGTAACTGGCTGACCAGCCGTATTCAGCGTGTGGTCCTCAATGGAACCACATCTACATGGAGGGAAGTGTGTAGTGGGGTGCCCCAGGGCTCTATTCTGGGCCCAGTGCTCTTCAACATCTTCATCAATGATTTGGACGAGGGGATAGATGGGGAAATCATCAAATTTGCAGATGACACCAAGCTAGCAGGAATAGCCAACACTCCAGAAGACAGGCTTAGGATACAGGAGGATCTGGACAGACTTGAACACTGGGCGCTATCTAACAAAATGAAATTCAATGATGAAAAAAGTAAGGTTCTATATTTAGGCAAGAAAAACTAAATGTATAGGTATAATATAGGGGGTACCTTGCTCAATAGTAGTAACTTTGAGAGGGACCTCATAGTCCTAGTGGACAATCACTTAAATATGAGCCAGCAGTGTGCTGCAGCTGCCAAAAAGGCCAACACAGTGCTGGGCTGCATTAACAGAGGGATAGAATCAAGATCACGTGAAGTATTAATACCACTTTAAAATGCCTTGGTAAGGCCACACTTGGAATACTGCATCCAGTTTTGGTCACCACAATGTAAAAAAGATGTTCAGACTCTAGAAAGAGTACAGAGAAGGGCAACAAAGATGATTAGGGGACTGGAGGCTAAAGCATATAAGGAAAGGCTGCTGGAATTGGGTATGCCTAATTTAATGAAGAGAAGGACGAGGGGGGGACATGATAGCAGTATTCCAATATCTCAGGGGCTGCCACAAAGAAGAGGGAGTCAAGCTATTTTCCAAGGCACCTGAAGGCAGGACAAGAAGCAACAGGTGGAAACTAATCAAGAAGAGAAGCAACCTAGAACTAAGGAGAAACTTCCTGACAGTTAGAACAATTAACCAGTGGAACAACCTACCTCCAGAAGCGGTGAATGCTCTAACACTGAAAGTTTTTAAGAAGAGACTGGACAGCCATTTGTCTGAAATGGTATAGGGTTTCCTGCCTGAGCAGGGGGTTGGACTAGATGACCTCCAAGGTCCCTTCCAACTTTATTATTATTATTATTATTAATGAGTAAAAATCTCAACTAGTCATAATTATCAACATTAACGATTAAGAATCACTAAATCACTAAGAATAAAGATGTTATCAACCTATAAACTATAACTCAAAAATTTATCATCTATTCTGAAATATTAAATTCTTTTCAGATTCTAATGCGTCTCTAACCATTGATAAATTTTTTCCCAAGTTTTAAAATAAACTGAATCATCTTTCTCTTTCATTTCCAATGTTAATCTATCCATTTCTGCGCAATCTAAAATTTTAGCAATTATAGCCTGGTCAGATGGTAGATTTCAATTTTTCCAAAATTGGGCAAATACTATTCTTGCAGCTGTTAAAACATGTAATATCAAATAGTCATTATCTTTGCCATAATTAGGTCTTAATATTCCTAGCAAAAACAATTCCAGTTTAAATTCTATCTGTATTTTCATCATCTTTTCCAACCATCTATGAATCTTAAGCCAATACTTCTTAGCATTAGGGCATACCCACCAGGCACGGCTGTTGTTTACATTTCCAACAAGTATTTGATACATTTTTAAATATTTTCTTGCAAAACAGAAGTATAATATGTGTTGTCCTTGATGCTCAAAAACTTTCTGTGCTTCTGCATTCTGTACCAGGTGAAGTTTGGGTATTCTTCAAGGACAGCTCCATGTAGAGTTAATGCAGTAGTCCAAACTGTAAGTGACTAGGGCATGAGTGTCTGTAAACAAGGCCTGCTAATCCAGGCACAACTGATGCACAATACAAATCTGTGCAAAGGTCCTCCTAGTCATGATTGCCACCAGCTCCTCGAGTTTAGAAGAACTCCCAGATTGCGCACTGGGTCTGTCTTGGGTAGCGTAACCTTATCCAGCACCAAAGATGATGTAGTCCTTCAATCAGTGGGGACCAAAAGCCAAAATGACTTGATCTTGCCAGGGTTCATCTAAAGCCCGATGTCCCCCATCTAGACCCTCCCAGCCTTGAGACATCAGGATAAGATGATCATGGTATCACTTAATTTGCCATGGATAGAAATGTACAATTGGATATTATCAGCATAGTGATGAGACATGGTAAGAGATGAGCTCATCCAGAAGTTTGAAAAAAAATATCCTGGAAGAGTCTATATATATGGTTGCTAAGAATCAACACTGACATGATGGCATATAACTAGTCAATAAGATCATTACTTATCAGCGCAATCTCCATTTTATTTAAACTGACTCAGTTTTTTAAAGTAAATACGTATTTTATTTAGTTCATCTCATATTCTTGGCATACTGAGTATTGTGTGTCAACAGTATGCTGATGAAATTTCATTTTTAATCTCCAGGTGATTCATCTTAAAACATTCCAAACAGCTGTTGAAATGTGTGGACATCAGAAATGGGGTCATTGTAAAGCCTTCTTCCAATTCCAGTCCAACCGCGATAATCAGTGCAATGATCTAGATTAAGTTAACAAATTTCCTTTTCTCTCTCTTCTCATAAGACATCCAGTTCAGAGTTTAAGCATCAAAATCAGGGGGAAAGAAAACCTCTAGTTGAAATATATCCAGAAAAATCAGCCTTCTCCAAGTAAGTTTGAATATGTCTGTCTATCACATTAAAAACTACATTTATTTTTCCCAGCAGTTGTCAAACTGCATCCTCTTTGAGAAGCTGGAAATATTTTCAATAATCAATTGTTTAAAAATATTGTCCTCTCTCTTCCTATATAATTTTTCTCCCTCCTTAAAATGAGGGACAGTGCTTTTTCCTAAATGTCTCTGTGCACAGACCTCCTGAAATCCATTAATCTCTGTCTCTGCAGAAGGGAATAGCTCCAGCATCCTAAATCTAAGCAAAGTGATATATTCATGACAGGAAAAGAGATGGAAAACTTTTCTTTTTCGGATCGACATCTTCCTATGCATTAAGGTAGATCAAAGGTAGTTCATGGCCTACTCCATGAAACTTCCATTACTATCTCTATCCAATCCATTATTTAACAAGAACCTTTATAAAGTTAAAATTAAAGTTTTCAAAATCAAAATAGAGTCAAGAAAATTTGCTCTTCATGAAACTTTGAAGGAGAAACAGTTGTTACAGAAAGAAACGTTTCAGTGAGATCATTTGTGATCTTGTTAATAGAACAATAATGAATACTCTTTATTTATTTATTTATTTATTTATTTATTTATTTTATTTATTTATGAGATTTATATAACGCTTTAAGTGCAAGCACTCTCTAAGCGGTGTACACCAGTAAGCAATGTGTATGTATGTATGTATGTGTGTATATATATATATATATATATATATATATATATATATATATATATATACATCTCATTTTACCTACCTCGAAAGGATGGAAGGCTGAGTCAACCTTGAGCCGGTGAGATTTGAACCGCTGACCTGCTGAACACAGTCAGCTAAAGTGGCCTGCAGTACCAGTTTATGAAATATCTATCAGCACAGTGAGGAAAGGGATTTGTTCTATATTAACAGCTATAGTAAATAATGCTTTTATTTAATAATCAAGACCATTGCTTCCTAATACGTGGTCCTGGGAGGGCTAGGGATCCTCAAGATCAGTCAGGAGTCTATGAAATAAAAATTATTTGGTACTCTATGTTGAAAAATAATACAATATTAAAATTCCATAAAACAATTATGAGAACTGTAGCAGGTATATTAATTTTAATTTTTATTAAATATTGATAAGTATAACCCATACAAAAAAAGTTCCTTTGGGGTCCTCACTCATTTTTAAAAGTGGGAAGAATTCCTGAGAGTAAAAAAAGAAACATTGGTCTACACTCTGTGTTCAAGAATAACTGCATTTATCTCTTCTATATATTTGTCCCTTTGTTTTACTTACAAATGTAAAAGACATATTCACATATTGATATTCTGGAGAAAAACAGCAACAATGACAACAACTGTGCATGAGACCTGTGATCAGAATCTGAGCTGTTTCACTTCTCTGCTAATTTCAGAAATATTAATTGGTTATCTTGTTTTGCTTCATGTATTACAAACAAAATAGGCTGACTTTGAAAACAATTTCTTTGACAGAATATTTTTGCCTGGAGCTACAGCTTCTATTGCAATACATTAATTAGCCAATATTTAATTAATTTGCGTATAAACAGTGCTATGTTTTGAATGCTGACCTTTGCAGAGCATCAGTCTTATTCACCAATGGATTTTACATGCTTTATTATCAAATTTGATTTAATTTACTATATTTTCTAATAAACATTAGTATTTTTAGTGCTGAGAGCCAATTTGGAGCAGTGATTTAAGACACAGGGCTAGAAAATGGGACATATAGAATTTTAGTCCTGCATGAAAGTATGTGGGTGGCTTTGGGCCAATCCCTCTCTTTCAGCCCTAGGAAGAAAGAAAACGCAAATCAGTTCTAAAAATGTTCGCAGGAAACCTGCACATATTAATAATAAATCAAGGGCACCCCCTCAAATAAAATTATAAAAATGATAAATGCTTTATATTAGGTTCTTGCTACATGTAAATAATCTCAAAATATAAGTAATTCTCAACTTACATCCATAATAGAGCCCCAAAATTCCATTGCTGAGCAAAGCAGTTGTTAAGTGAGTTGTGCCCCATTTTGTGACCTTTTTTGCCACTATAGTTGTTGAGGGAATCACATGCTCATTAAGCAAACCTGGCTTCCTCCATTGACTTTGCTTGTCAGAAGCTGACTGGAAGATTACACATGGTGATCACATGACCCTGGGACAGTGCAATTATCATAAATATAAGTCAGTTGCTAAGTGCCTGGATTCTGATCAAGTGCCCATGAGGATGCTGCAACAGTCATAAGTTTGAAAACTGGTCATAAGTCACTAAATGAATACTTGTAAATCAAGAACTACCTGTATGTAAAGAAAGAAGTGTGAAAATTGGCATTTCTGCCAGGAGTAAGCAGAAGCACCTTAAGAGAAATATACAACTACTATTAGTGTAGATATCTCTTAATTACTCAAGTTTTCATGGTGGATTTGCCTACTGCTAGAAATTAGGAGCTGAAATCTAGAATTGAGTTTTCTGGATACAGTTTTTTTGAATTTTGACCCTCTACTTGTCTCTACTCATCTGCAGTTTTCTCCTTTTCTCAGTCATATAATTTCACCACCACCACCACCAAAACAGAATAGTTCTCTAGTACCTCATAAACTTCTATTTTGCCAGGATCATTTTGTCAGTAAAATATGAGTACACTATTAGCTATTAGCCAAACTTATGGGTATTGATGTGCTAACTACTATCATAGCACACTCTGGCAACAACTGTTTACTGGTGGAAATAGACAGAAAAGAAGAGGGATTCACACAAAACCAAATAACAAATGTAAAGTAACTGGAATGCTGACCTTATAATTCTATTAACCTGACCAGATTTCATACGATGGTATAGAACAGGGGTTCTTTGATCTTTGTGACTACCTCAGAATCACTGTTGGCTGATAGATGTTTATTTTAAACCATAGTAACTTTGAATATCTATGTTGCTGAAGTTATCCCAGATAATAAGATAAGACAAATTGATTATACACCTGGTAGTTAAGGAACTTATTGTGGCCCCTTGTAATACGGCATAGACCCCTGAGGGCCATAGAGCCCATGTTGAGCAGTACTGGAAAAAATAGTTTTCCTAGAACAGTATATACACTAACTGTATAGAATAGCTCTGGAATATTTTTAAAATATATCTGGTTATCAGTGTATTTATCTTAGTCATTGACATAAATACTCATTTATGAAACAATTACACTGAACTCACCTAAGCAAGTTGTCAAAGGCTTAGACTCTATGAAATAGTATCTTCATGTAAAGTGAAGATACTGAAATACATTTCCCAGTTTAGATTATATACACACACTAGTCAATATTTAAGAAGTTTGGGATAAGATGTGCATTTTTCCCTTCCGCCCCCACTCCTCCCACACATGCTGAGCTTATAGTTGGTTAGCCTAAAAAAGAAAGTGATTTTTCCAAAGTTACTCAGCAAGCTTCAGGCCTTAAGCTAATAATGATAAGATATCAAATGTCTATGGTTAAGCTTTCCCACAGATTGTATGGATCTGCTACTTTAAAGACATGGGGAAATGATTGCTTCTATCCAAGAGTTTCAATCCTTTTCTTCCTTGCCCTTTCCCTAAGCTAAATCAGATCCTATCAGCCACAGAGGACAAAAATATATACTGATATAGTATTTGGCTTAAGATGAATAGTTTACTTTGTGCTATGTTCAGCATGGAACAAATGTTAGTATCTAGCAGAGTTTTCATAGGTTTTCAATAATAAATCCTCTGAAAATGGTACTGCATTAAAATAAAAGCGAGTATGGATGGGGTATAGGTAAGTTGTAGAAATAAGTGAAACTGTTTGAAAATTCATTTTAAAATTAATTGTTCCTGTGATAACTTTGCTATCCTTTATCTTCCCTACATTCCTTCTAGTTACATTATCTTGCATTACTTTAAAGCAGAGGTCTTCAAACTTGGCCCTTTTGTCAGAATCCAATTATATTTCATCTTTAATCATCAAATATAGAAAACCCCAATTCTGCCTTCTCTGGATTCTGCCATAAGAGGGAGAGAAGGGGGAGAACAAAGGGGCTTTATGGCCCTCACTTCCTTCAGTATGAAGGAATGTGTTTATTGCAACCTCAAAGAGTTTGAATGTAAATAGCACCAAAGAACCTTACCATGACAAAGGGGCTATTTACCTTTCATGTAGTTTATTTGAAGTCTCCATCCAGAAGGACAGAAGAAAGCATCAAAGGGGTGGAATTGTGATGCCTGAAACTATCACTGGAAGGGGGGGGTGATTGGGTGGGACTGCTGGGGAACCCCTTAAAACCTTGAATGGGAGAGCTTAAACCCCAAGTCCTGTCTAGCCCGCCTGCAACCACTTCTTCTTAATAAAGGATTCCTGTTGGAAGAATTATTCCCAGAGTTCTGTCTTCTTAAGATGCAAAGTGGGGTGGGTCCTTACATCTTTTATGACTTGTGGACTTCAACTCCCAGAATTCTTCAGCCAGCATGCCTGGCTGAGGAATTCTGAGAGTTGAAGTCCACAAGTTATAAAAGGGCCAAGTTTTAAGACCCCTGCTTTAAAGAATTTCTATATCCTCAAAGGGATTTACTAGTAGGTATTTACTATCACTTCAAAGTAGTGATAGTAAAAGGAAAAAACTCCCATAAAAATTAGGGAATGTGGCAGGCACTGTTTTCAATTCTTCTGCCTGAAATTGTGAACAGCAGTCATTGTGCTTTTCTTTTACTCGTGTCAATTCAGTAACATTGATTCGATAAAATGATATCTATGAAAATGAATCTTTAGGTAAAGCACCTCGTTTGTAAATTAGTATACTGGACAATATTTCTCTATAATAATGTCATCATAATTAAGAAATATAGCTTATTTAGAAAATTGCAAATTATTCCAAGTTCTACAGTCAACTAATTTAAGGCGCTTAGTATTTCAGTATTGTGATTTGTTCTGGATTCTGGAACTAAACAGAATGGAACGTGTTACAATTGGATGGGTCACAAGAGTTCTGTGAAGGAATTCCAGACTGAACAATTAGGAGAAAATATTTATTTATATGTATTTATTAATCACATTTATATTCCCACAAGAGTGGGCAGTATAAAACAATGGTACAACAAATATATAAAAGCAATCATTAAAAATGTAAATTATATATTAAAAACCATATACAAATTTAAAATATACATTGTAAATGTATGTACAACTCAAGCCTGGAGGGATTTCCAGAATAATAACAAGGATAAAGCTAATCTGACTTCGGGTGAGAATGTTCCATATTACACTGAAAGAAAACAGTGGAAAATCACTTCCATTTCACTGCCAAAAACCCCAGACAGATGTGTTCTCATT